AGATTTTTCTCTACAGAATAAGAATACAGAAACAAGTTGAGGTTGCAACTTATTCCCCCCCCCATCCCACACAGAAGTAGAGTGTTATTGTTCTGTAACTTGTATTCTGTGAAAGAACCTAGCAAAGACATATTTTACTGAACCAACTCTGGTTTACATGTTTTTGCTCCCTGTACAAAATTTTTACATTAACTTTTTTTTTCTGTCAAAGTGGATTTGATAATATATAGCTGAGTTTCATGCTGATGCCTACATAATTTTTACCTTTGATCTGCAAATATTGTAAAGGTTAGTCTTTCTGTACTGTATGATTAGTAGGGATATATACATTTGTTATTAGTTCTGAAGAGTGCTAATTTCTTAGCTAGTGTGCAGAACAGCAGGTTCCTGAAATGGATAAATAATGAACTTGCTTGGATTGTGGGTATTGTGAGATTGAGACTTTTGTTTGTCTATTAATGTGACAAATGCAGGTTGTCCATAAGATTACAGTGGTTTTGATGCTGAACAAATTGGATACTCTTTTATCTTGAAAATGTAGCCATACCTCGCCTGAGATATCTTTTTTTAAGGAAGGGGGAGAATTAGACAAATATTAAGGACTGATATAACCTTGAGTATAAGATAAACTAGGCACAGTGTAATACAGATATGCTTTATGGTGTTTCAAGAAGTTAACTGTTAAATAGGTCAATTCTGTGTAAGTTTATGTGAGAGTAATCTTGATTGACCTACTGAGTTTAGAGTTCTAGACTTGGGCTATGATTGCAAAGGGACAGCTACCAGTGACACTGGTAGGGTTTTCTGCCACATGAATGTGGTTCAAGTCTGGGTGAAGAACTGAGGCACAAGCAACATGTAATGGATTAGTGTTAAATTACTGTGTTGTTGTTGTATGCCTATATACACACTTATAGAGATTGGTAAAAGTAGAAATGAAGCAATCTGTCTGTCTGCTAGCTTCTTAACTTTTAATGCCACTTTCTAATGCATAAATCTCCCTGTCAAGTACAGAAATGCAACTTCATGCATTTTCGTTATAATTATTTATTAGATTTAGTGGATAGCCATAAATAATTATTCTTGCAAAAGTTATAAAAGAAATTTCTGGAGTTCAGTCAAGTTAGGTTAAAAGGAATGTTAGAAATATGTCACAAGCAACCTTTTCAAACATATTTCCCTTCAGTATATATTGAGATAAGAAAGTCCACAAAGTGTTGCATTGTTCCCAATCAGTGTGTGTGTGTGTGGAAGCATAATGTGTTGTTAAGTGCATAGTTTTTGTAGAATTTCTGCTATCAATCTATGGGTAAGACAACTATCAATGGCCATTAATAACAGAACAGAAAAGACCGTAAACTACTATTTGTAAACTGTGCTCATTGTTCTTCAATGTGTCAGTGTTTAAAGCAAGGGCAACAATATTTATTTATTTATTTATTTATTTATTTATTTATTTATTTATTCATTCATTCATTCATTCATTCATTCATTCATTCATTCATTCATTCATTCGATTTATACAGTACCCTGCCACCCTAGACAGCGTCTACTGGGGCGGCTTGCCTTTGGGGCCTAAATATCTTTCAGTGCTAATGGTAGTTAGTTTCGAATGCTTCAGTTTGCATCTCTGTGGGCTCTGCTATTATTAGCTACTTTCTCTCTCTTTAGTATCAACCAATTGTGATGACATGCCTAAAGACATCCTATTCTTAGTTCTTATCCTTTGTTCCTTTTTCGTAGTGTATCCACAGTCTCTCTGCAGCCCAAGCCAGCCTTCTTTGACAGTCTAGCTTGTGCTCCCTTCATAATAAACACCAGCTTCCACCATCTGCCTATGTTCTCATCTTTCCTGATGTTGTCTAGACAAGCTTCTTGAATAGAAGCTTGGTGGTGTCTTTTTTTAATTTATATTTTCTGCTCATTCATTTATAAAACAGTATTGCATACAAACTGGCCCAGAACTACTATGTACCATTCACATGGTTTTCTTGACACTGTCCATAACTCCAAGAAACTGCAGGAACTGGATGGTTATAGTATCTTACATTTTCCAGGTTGTTGCTATGACTGGTAAGTGAGAGGATTTTTTGTGTGTTCAGGCAGTCCCTGCTATCTGAAGTTTCTTAACCAGAGATGACAGATTGAATGAATCCTGGGATATATTGCTTACTAACCATGTGCTCTACCTAATGAACTGCAAGATCCTTGTCTTCCTTCAGCACTCTAAATCCAGTACATGTACTGTAGACTGATTGGAAAAGGAAGTGAAGTCATAAGTGATCAGGATAGCAAAACAAAAAGGGAAACGCCCAGGATTACCCAGACTACCCAACTGTACTTTCTTTGCATGACTACTGTCCCATAGGCATATACAATAGTTATTTTGTAACAAGTGTATTTGCACCACTCTTCACTTTCAAATTTTAGTGGCAGGAACTGTATTTTTGTTGTTGTTGTGACTTATATTTTATTGAATACACTATATCTCTGTTAAGCCTTGCTTCTAGTTGATACTTTAGCCTTGAGCTCTCATGCAGTCATCCATCAGAGATAGTTTTTTCCCTTAAACTGAGGGTTACTGACATGCAGCATAACTCAGAACAAACAAGTATGTGTAACTGGATCTGTTTCATTTTGTATAACCTTGGAAAACGGTTTCTAAACCAGGTTGTAGAAGGATATGCATTTGACATTCCTATCTTTTATTATGACTAAGCTTAATAATGGGGAGAAAGTTTTCATTTTTTGGCACAATAGTTTTCAATGAGTAAGTTATTTTACTGAAATATTTTGAATGCTATTTTTCAAATATGGCATGAAAAGTTCATTAAATCCACGTGAAAACCATACTTGTTCATTAATTGAGAGTAAATATCTTTCTGTGTAGCTTGATCCTAAATGTTTGCAGTTTCCCAGGTTTAGCTCAGAAGTGAAATGAAAAGAAGTATCACTTCTGAATCATATTCATAAAGGAAATAACTGAGAATGATGAGAAGGGACACATTTTCAGATTAAATCTAGTGCATATAAATTTTGTACTGAAATGTATAAACCCTAGTTGAAGGGTCACAAGCAAAAACAGCTTGGTTTCCTCAGGTTGTTGTTTCCACTGTTTCATTCTCATAGGGCTATGCTTCATGGCTGATCTAAAATCCTCACTTTCCCATGCTACATCTTTGCTAGAGCCTCCTGTGAAATGCTTTGGATTCTTTAAATATTTCACAGTGTGAACTACATTTCACTGAAACAGCATTATTAGTTCATGATTAGAGATGGGGGTATTCGTATATGAATACGAATATCCCTGCACAGGTGGTGTTAACAAGGTCCACTCACGGATCCACTGCGGATGCGGACTGCGCAATTCTACCAATGGATCTACAGCGCACTATCCACTCGCCACTCTTCGACCTTACAGCGAGGCTTGTCCTTCCGCCTCCCGCCAGAAATGGCAAGCGGATCGCACACTGCGGATCCATTGGTAGAATCGCGCGGTCTGCGTCTGCGGCAGATCGATGAGTGGACCATCTGGCTCAATGAAGCTGGACCCTCATCAACACCACCAGTGCGGGGATATTCGTATATGAATACGAATACCCCCATCTCTATTCATAATTCTCCTAAACAGTTTTGAGCTACTCAGTTGGAAGCTGGCCAGAAAACCTTTGTCTTAAAGTCAGAGTGAGCAATCTCTATGACTCTAGGAGCAAGTTGCACGTACCTCTGATTTACTGGTGAGCTGCACACCTCCAATCACTGCCTGTTTCCAAAAAATTCTAGAACTGTAGGGAGGTTAAAACAAAAACAATACTTTCAGTTGCTGGAAAACTGAATCTTCACCATAAAACTTGGAACACGTGAAACACACCACTTGAGGAGAATTGAATTTCAAGAGCATGGTTTCCCTCTGAAACAGGGCATGTGCTATCCTTATGCTTTACTGTGTCATGGAATTGCTAATACTAATGCTGTATTGCTCAAACAGTGGCATCCAAATAAATTTAACAGCAGAGGATGCTGCAGGGGTATAAAATAATGCCCCATCTCATGTGTCCTACTCCCCACATGTTGTCCACCCCAGTTTAAGGATAGTGTTCTTTTTCCTATTGAAGAACCCATATGTGATACACTTCTTCCTTCATACGTCTTAGACTTTGACACTTGGAGACAGTGGAGCTCTGTCCAATGTGGGATCTGGAAAAGCTGTTATCTAGGTGCCAGACTAGTTATGTGGGAATTCTATAAATTGAGCTATGTAACAGAACACTGACCGGTGTATATAACACTAAGGCGTATGTTTATGCAAAATTATATGAATTGCCTATAAAGATTATGATGAAGAATGAAAAGTGTCTTGCCCCAGAGAACACAATCTGTCTGGGGGGTTTTCACCTGAAGGATCCCTTTGTCTTACTTGTGTGACACAGCCTTATTAAAAATCATGCCTGGTTCTTAGAAAGGTGCCAAAGGCAGAATGGGTGAGAATACATGACTGAAAATCCAATAAGAGAGTTACTTCAGCAGTTCCAGTATAAACTACAAGAAAACTAGACTATAGCAGTCCAATTGACCAGCATCCTGGTGAAATTCTGTCTTGCTGTTTACCTCTAGGTAAAGGTAAATGTTCCCCTTGACATTTAGTCCAGTCGTGTCCGACTCTAAGGTGTGGTGCTCATCCCCATCTCCAAGCTGTAGAGCCAACGTTTGTCTGTAGACAGTTTCCATGGTCACGTGGCCAGTGCGACTAGACACGGAATGCCGTTACCTTCCCACCATGGTGGTACCTATTTATCTACTTGCATTTACATGCTTTCGAACTGCTAGGTTGGCAGGAGCTGGGAGAAGCGACAGGAGCTCACTCCGTCACGTGGATTCGATCTTATGACTGCTGGTCTTCCAACCTTGCAGAACAGAGGCTTCTGCAGTTTAATCCGCATCACCACCAGATCCCTGCTTACCTCTACTCCTGCCCAAATTTATTTTGACAATCTGGATACAACTATCGCTGGAATTTACCATGTACGTAAACTGTGTAATTTGAGTGTTCTTCTGGAGCTGGCTCCTTTTTGGGAGTCCCAGTTTGCAGCTGTGTCCAGATCAGCCTTTAACCAGATTAGGCTAATCACCCAACTTTGCCCCTATCTAAATGAGGATTCCTTTTTTTTAAAGTATTTTATTTTTTTCTATATACAATAAACACACAGACAAGAAACAAAAACAATACAAATAAAATCAAAAACAAAACAAAACAAAACCCCACATATATAGGC